TAGTCCATTTTTAATCTCAAAATATTTTGCTTGATTCTGAAGTTGAGTTTGTTGATAAGAGGTAAAATCTGTTGGTATTGTCTGAGAATTTAAGTAATTATAAATATTCTGATATCGATCTAAATCCATAGATTTATAAAGATATAGATCAGAGTCTTGACAAAGTATCCACATTCAAGTGAATTCTTTCTGGTTTGTGAATTACAACAAGATTATAGGGTTGTAGTTTCAAAATCCATCTTCCAATACATCCTTTGGGTTTAACAGTTTTAAGCCATTTAAGAGCGAGGTGGTTGGTAACAAGTATAAATTTAGTAGCATCTAAATAACTATGAAAATGCTCTATAGCCCATACTATAGCAGCACATTCTAGTTCTGTAGCAAAATAATTTTGCTCTTCAGGTCTCAGGCTTTTACTTGCATAGGCAACAGGATGTTTCTTTCCATCATTGTCTATTTGGCTTAGTGTAGCTTCATATTCATGATAAAAAGTATCAGTAGCCAAAATAAAGCGTCATTTAAAGTCAGGGTAAGCAAGTATTGGTGCAGTGATAAGCTTTTGTTTAAGAAACTTAAAAGCTTCTTGTTGTTTTGGTTCCCAATGATATGGTGTATTGTTGTGTAAAAGTTGGTTTAATGGTTGGGCTGTGGCAGAAAAGTTTCGGATGAATTGTCGATAGTATTTTACAAGGCCTAAGAAGGATCTAAGTTTGGTAATATTGTTAGAAGGTTGTATTTTCTGTACTGTTTCTATTTTTGAAGGGTCAGAAGAAATTCCTTTATAGCTAACAATGTGTCCAAGAAAAGGTAATGATTTTATTCAAAAATTACACTTTTTTAAATTTAATTTTAATCCAGCATCTCTAATACGTTGAAACACAATCCGCAAATATTTTAAATAATTATCAAATGTTCGTGAAAAGATGTTGGTATCATCAAAATATACAACTATGAATTTCCAGATAAGTCCTTTATAGATTCGATCTATTAATCATTGGAATATAGCAGGAGCATTGCACAATCCAAAAGGCATTACATTGAACTCATAAATGCTATACTTAGTGATAAAAGTAGTCTTTTCTCTTTAGGATCCATCATAACTTGCCAATATCTACTGCTAAGTCTAAAGTAGAGAACCATTGAGATCCAGTGAGAGTATTAAGTATTTCTTGTATTCGGGGTAGAGGGTATGCATCTTTCTTGGTAATACTATTAATTTTTCTGTAATCAACACAGAATCTAAGTTTACCATTTTTCTTTCGTACTAAAACAACAGGTGAGGTCCAGGGACTTTCAGAGAGTCAGATAATTCCACTTTCAAGTATTCGTTCTATTTCTTCTTTTATAAATTCTTGTTCATTAGGAAAGACATTATAAGGTCAGGAATTAATTAGAAGTACATCTTTTGTATAGATTTTATGTTGAACAATTTGGGTATATCCAAGTTCTGTAATATCTTTTGCAAATAGGTCTGCAAATTCAGCAAGCAAGATTCTAAATTTTCTTCCTTGCTCTTTGGTTAAAGGTTCTATATTAACTGTATCAGTTTGTTCTAAAGCATACTCTTCATAAGAGATCAGAGTATCTATTGTATAAGCTTCTTGTAGCGAAAAGTTATTTCTTTCTGCATTTTGTTGTAATGCTTGTTGGAGAGCTTTTTTTTCTGTGGGCAAATATTCAGAGTCTTCAGATAGTTTTTCATTATGCCTAGGATTTATTGAAAATTTGGTTGAGAGGCAAACAAACGGGAATAGTAATCAGCTCATTGTTGATAGTGAATAATTTGTTGCTTCAAAAATTCTGTAATTTGTTCAAAATTATTTTCTAAATATTGAACTCTAGCTTCTAATCATTCAATAATTTGATCCTTTTCTTCTAGTTCAAGAGGTAGTTGTGTAGGTTCTTCAGGTTCAAAAGTTTGTTGCAGAGGTTCAGCTGTTTCTTCTTCTGGTAAAAGTAAGTTAATATTTTTTTTCTCTAGCAATTCAGCAGGTATAGTTAATTGAGTTAGTTCCTGATAACACTTATCACAATATCCTTGGTTGGGTTCAAGTTCATCAAGTTGTTTGGCTAGGAGGTATTCTTTACAAAGCTGTACTTTTCTTTCAAAATTCTTTTTAAGATTTTCTATAGCTTTTCGGCTATCAAAATCTGGGTGGGCAGTATCGAAAGATTCACATAGAATTTGTTGTAGGGTGGCTTCTTCTATTTCGGTCAGAACAGCTTTATCTCAGAGAAGGATACTAATTTCATCAGAAGACCAGTCTCGGTTATATTGATCTGTTTCTTGTTCTACTATAGCTTTAGTTATTTCTATATCACTTTTCTCTAACAATACCAGAGCAATTCAGTAGATTTGGTCTTGGTTTAGGTTGTATTGAGATCCAGCACTTTGGGTTGACTCAGTATAATGTTGAATTCTGGTCCACACATTATAATTAGGATTATACTGAATATCTTGGCTAACCTTGTAAGCATACATATGTTCCAATTCACAGAATCACAATTCTTCTTGTATACTTTCTAGTTGATACATTCTAGATCTTGGTCTTTGAATTTCACAGACTTTACAATAGACAAGGGTTCCATATCCTAATCTATATTGGTAATATTCTTGGCTTCTGGAGCCATCCATTTCAAGAGCTTCAAAATGAGTTTTGTAGCAAGCAGTGCAGATTAACTTATCTTTATAATCATACAAATTATCAGATTGTTCTGGGGTCAAGCATTTACAGCAATGGTGAGTACATCTTTTACTGTAATAAGTTAATTTTCTTTCCTTAACTTGGTCTTTGTTACATCCACACTGATAAGTAAGGTTATTTAATTTTTGTTGTGCAAGAGTGCAGTTAATTTCGATATAGCCTGTTTGATTACAACTATAGTATGTATTGTAAGGACAATCCTTAAACAAGTGGTCACTTTGGTTGCAATTCCTGCAGGCAGTGTTGTACATGGGACGGGATATGGGACAGGGACATAATGTCCGGGACTGTTCGGGACAATTGTCCCTAGATTTCTGGGTCCAGGACATATGTCCCAGAATAGCATAGCGGGCTTTTATTCTTATTGGCTAATTTTTGTAGATCATTTGATGACGTTCAAACTCTGATTGGCTAATAGAAACAAGTTCGAAATAAAAAAGGATTTAGAAATTATTAAACAAAAAGATTTAAACTGTAAATTCGACAGCCATTGTCAAATGTGTATCTGGTTAAGCTTAATAAAAAAAAAAAAACAAAATCTTTAAACTAATAATTTCTTAAATATATATAAATAATCTTTATTAACAAAATCGCTTACTAACTATACTTAAAAAAACCATCAACTATCAATAAGGTAATACACGCACATGGAGAGTATGAACAGTATAAAAAACTGAACATTAACTATATATAATTGTACATATCCTTCGCATGCTCTATATACTCTACATACTCTATATCTATATGTTGTAGCCTTTAAAAACTTATTCGATTTAGCTATATTCAAAAAAAATATTAAAAAAACTAACAGTAAGTATTGTTGTTTACAAGTTTTTTTTTTTAAAAAAAAAGCTTAATACTAATACTTATTAGCAAAGGTACAAATTACCTGAATTATCTAACAAAAAGTGAACTCCGTCGCTAACTTCTGAATTATTAATTTCTCATTCTCCGGATTATTTTTTTTACTGTAGGTAGAATAAAAGGTGTAGTTTATGTCGTATCCTTAATTCGTTTTCATGGCTACCAATTCGTTTAAAGTCAGATGATATATGTGGTGTAATAATGTAACGATACAACAATTACTAAAAAAACCAGTTTTACAGTAATGCCTGTTTTTTCTCCGGCGATGCTTGTTAATAGGGATGGATCAGTTCGTCCCGGTCGGTCCCAGTCCCTATTGGACTGATCTTATAATGTTTTTCGGTCCGGTCGGTCCGTCTTTCAGTCCCAGAATTGGTCTTACGACTTATAAATAACGTTAAAACTTTTATTTATTAGTTTATTAATTAACGATCAAAATTTTTATTTATCAGGAGCCAAATTTTTATTCATTAGTAGCAAATATTAATTTATCATTTTTTTATCAGTAAGTATTAGTAATCGTCGGACCATAATCAGGACCAGGACCGGACTATTCAGAACTGAGAACCGAAAATCATTCGGTCTTTTACAATCCGGTCCCGGTCTTTACGAAAACCGATCCATCCCTACTTGTTATTCATCTAGCGCTAGTAAATCTCATTATTTTCTGGTTGCAATAGTATTGTTTAAGCGAAGGCTTTAAAATTCTCTGACCTATAATAAAGTACAATGAAAGCCTTTTATAATTCTCTTGGTTAGCATAGCGATGTCACATTAATAAGGGTAAAGGTTTTTTAAATTTTTTTTAAATTAATAACCATGTGTAAATTATTAAAAAAGATTTTACAATTTTTTTAGTACCGTGAAAAGAAAATTATTCCAATTGAAAACCCATAATGACATTATATTAAGCGAAGAATAACATATTTGTCTTCTACTTTGAGGGAATGGCCCAGACGATTGCTTATTTTCGTCTGTGTGGGAAATAAATAGTATATGTAAATTGACTTTTAATAAAGGATAAAGAATTATTCAGTATCAAATATCATCATAAATATGTCATCGTATAGCAAACATACTAATAAATAAAATAAAGCATTGTCATACGTATATATAACTAAAATGCAAGAACTTACACACCAAATCAGAAAAAAGGCAAGCTCGTCCAATCCATATTTATTTGCTAATGATATATAAAACCTTATTTTGATATATTAATGCCTATCCTTAAAACAAATTAGATTTTTTTCGTAAATTCATATCTGCGAAGATATTTATAGACAGACTAAAAGTTAAGAAAAAAAAAAATACTGAATTACGATATTTTCATAGAAAATGATGCTACTTTGTAAATAAATACGTTAGAAGTTATTTCTAATTAATTACTGTTACTGATTTTAATTAATATTATTTTAACGCTTACCAATTAAGCTAATACTGTAATGGTAGCTCTAATGTAACAAACAGGTTTTCCAGTTGCCATTTAGCATCTTTATCTAAAGCGGGATGAACTATATCATCTAAATCTTCAATATTTACTTGATCTTCGTTGTCTTGCTCTTCTTCTAATAACTCAGCCCATCCTTGAAGATATTCTCCAAAATCCTCTTCAGAAATAGATAATTCTTCATTTTCTTCATAGATTTCTTCTTCTTTTTCTAATTCATTATACTCTTCGTTATTTTCATCATTATCATTATGATTATTATTTTCAATTGTCATTTCACAATCATTTTTATTTATTATTTCACAATTATTTTCTTCTTTATTAGTGTTAGAACTTGTTTTATCTATATCTAGTGTCGTATTAGCTTCCAAATTTGTATGAAACTTGAGATTTTGTTGTCGACAATGTTTGTATGTAATATCAGCTCTTAGTTTACTTATATTGAGTGCTTTTGGTGTCTAATTTATAAAAAAAGATAAATATAGTATATAGTAAAAATTATAAATATTTATAAATTAAATAGTTCAAACCTTTAATCGACCTCTTCGACTATTTTGTATAAATCCCATACAACTCCAGAGTCTTTCAACAGATGCTGCATTTGTACAAATACCAAAAATTCTACAAGCTACAATTCCTAATTCGTTTGTTGAATCTGCAGCATAACTCCAGTATAATAATATATCATCTTCAAATTGCTGAAATGTGTTATAATCAAAAGGATATTTTTCTAATCGGTAATTATCAAATTCTCGAAGAATACATTTAGGTTCTTTTTCAAACCATACACGGTAATAATATATAAGTCATTTTCCAAATATAGTATAGCTAACATTAGATACTGTGCATTGAAATTGTTTCATACGGTATTTAGAATGTAAAATTAAAGAAAGTAATAAGAGCGGTTGCTCCCACTCATTCCATCGATGTTCTAATCTTTTGATTAATCGTAATGCAAGAGAAGTATCATGATAATTAGACCAAAATTGTACTAAATATCCCATACTATGTACGACCTGAAATAAACGAGCTTTGTCACATTGAAGATTATTGAGTAAAGTACAGTATGGTGTTAAAATTTCGATGATTTGTCTTATATTGTTCCAAAACATATCTAAACTAATAATTTCATAAATTTCATGTTGGATAAAATTATCTCCTATACGTCATCGAATTTCAGTAAATGGTGGTTTAAACTTAATTGCCAAAATCTAAAAATATGAATTTATAATAAGTAATTAACTTAAATTTATAAATTTATAAATTTACTAACCTCTAATGCTTTTTGAGTTTTTATAAGACTTGTACACATATAAAAAAAACTATTTCATCTTGTTTTTCCTGGCGCAGCTACTGAATAAATTTTTTTATATGTATTATATTGTATATCTCGTAGTTGTCCAATAAAAAATTGATTATTTGCATTTCGAAAATAGTTAGTTAATTTGATTGCACGGTCAATAGTTGTTTTAAATTGAGTAGATTCTTTAAAAATTTCACCAACACAAAGATTTAATTGATGAGTGAAGCACGGTAAAAAAACTACTGATTTGTAAGAAATTCTCAATTTACGTCTATTTAAATAATGTATTAGCAAATAAAATTTATTTTTTAATAATAAATAAATAAATAAGCACCTAGCTGCTGCATAAGCCTCAGCGCTGTCTGTAACAACTGCACATAGTATAATATTATTTTCTCTTAATTCATGCATCATAAGTTCTGTTTTCTTTATAACTTCAGCATGATTTTCTCGTTCTGAGCTTATATCAAAAACTTTCCAAACGTGTAGTTTTTCATCAGAATTTAATAAAATTGTTCCTAAAAGATGTTCATTTTTCACATTCGTCCAACCATCAAATGTTAAAGTAACTCCTACTGGATCTTCTTTTAGCACGATCTCCATTGATTTTTCTATACTATCTACGGCTTTGTTTAAAACTTGATTACCAAGATTATGACGATCAGGAAGTTTAAGAAAAGGATTTAAAAACTTGAAACATTCTATTGTTTCTGGATTAGTAACCCATGATAATGACCAACCACAAGAAACAGTCATACAAAGTAAATGCTAATAAAACTGATCATAATCTCCTTTTGATAATGGTCGAACAATAAAATTATCTGTTGGTCCATATTCAGTCGATTGAATTAAGGTTTTACGATACTTTGGCTGAGATGAGCTTGATGATTGCGATGTAGTTGACAAATCACTTGCCGAATTTAAATAATATTTGTTAATAAACAATTATATATAAAAAAAAAAAAAAAAATTTTAAAATTATAAATATTAAAAATATACATAATCTTTTATTTGAAACCGTAGTATTATGATCTGAAAGTAGATCAAAAACTTCAGTTCTTTGTTCAGCTGTAGTATTTGTAAAAAAATGGCTACATTTTTTTAAGTGTTGAATGATACGGTCTTTTTTATTTGGAAAATAAACTTTTTTTCCTTCCTCTTCCCCTAAAGCATCGACACATGATTTACAATGCGTTTTAAAATTACTCGTATTAATTTTAATATTTGTTTTTATAATGTAATTATTTAGTAAAGAAGGTAATGGCGGCATTGTGTATGTAACAAGAATAGAAGATTATAGAAGATCTATGAATTTAATTAACTTTTTACTTGAAAAATCCGGTTTTAAAATAAATAAAATGTAACGCAACAATCTATATAAATCAAAAATATGTATGGTATTATCATTAATGCTTCTTTGTGGTAGATACACTTTCATTAAGTCATTTTTGTTTTTTTTCTGAGCCGTGTATTTATTAAATGAAATCGCATTTATATAATATATAAATACCCATTTTTCTTTGATTTAATGAGATATACAGTTTTAATGGCACATAATTCCAAAGTAAAACTTTAAAAAAATCAACTATAGAATGAAATTTATTTCCTACCCGACAAAAACTTTAAAATAAATTTAAATGTTCATCTCGCCAACCAAATTAAGATAGTTCAAGAAAAAAAAACATTATATAGGCAATGTAAAAAAAGCCTTTATAGCTTTACTGTCATGGTAATTAATGTGACAGATTAAAATGAAAGCAGATCAAAATGAAATATTGTACAATATAAAAAATAGACAAGTCGCTGAAAAATAAAAATTTTTGAGGTGCATTTTTTAGGGTTAGGGGTTAGGGTTAGAGGTTAGTTTTAGAGTAGTGTTTATTATAAACAAGTATAAGTGGGTTTTAGAGGGTTAAATAGAAACCCTCATTTCATTTTAATCCAGTTTCATTATAATCCACGACAATTAATAAACGATTCGTATTAAAAGTGCTAGTAAAAAAAGAAAGATGCAACCTGTGCATCTAAAAAAGTGTAACCAAGTTTATATGTATAAAAGCGTATCGGTATGATCAATTGATTATCACTTAAAAAATTTCATCGTAGTTTTGATTTATATTGTACATCGAACACCCCAATGTGACATGGGACATGGGACATTGTCCCGGACAATAATATCCCAGACATTGTCCGGGACAAAAAAATAGTGTCCCGTGACCAATACTATATTGGGACATTATTTGGGACATGGGACATGGGACATTGTCCCGGACATTTATGTCCCTATAAAATTGGTGGGACATGTCCCGTGTACAACACTGCCTGCAGGTACTTCTTCTATTTTGTTTTCTGGAACAATCTGCAAGAATATAGCCTTTTTGATGACAATAATAACAAGTATTTTTAGGACAGTTTCTGGTGATGTGGGTAGTGAGATTACAGGTTCTACAAAATTGATTATTTCTATAGCGAGAAGTAAATGTAGTCAACTTCCTTCCTCTTGTTCTTTGGTGACAAAAGCATAGGCTTCGTGAGGAGTCAAATATTCTTCCTCATATAGGTCAAATTCTTCAGGGTAGTACAAGTAGGTTGTTTCTTGGTAGGTTTAGTTTGTTCATAAGATGTGTTCAATACAATCTTTTTACCTTTCTAGTAAATAGTATACTGGTATGTTTTTCAATTATAGTTGGTCTCAACTTTCTTAGACCAATCATTACCAAGCAATAACGAATATGAAGTAGCAGGTATAACTTCAACATCAAGAGGGATTAGTTTTCCTTGTATATGAATAGGTAAATTCCAAGGGGTCTGGACGTAGTTCCTGTAGTAGCGACAATAAGACTTGTGGATGGTTCTTCTATTTTAAGTTCTAAATCTTTAACAGTTTGGTGTGAAATCATGCTAACAGCAACTCTACTATCAACAATAGCAGATAAAGTTTGGTCCTAAATATCAACATAACATTTCATAGGGGTTATATAGTTGGTTGGTTCAGGTAGGGTATTTTCTCAGTTTAAATCAGTAATGTGTGTAGTCAAAGCAGTTCGAATAGAGTAGTTGTCCAACAAATCTTTCCATGTTTGAGTGGTTTTAGGTTTGGTTTCAGCTATGTTTACATTTCGGTAATAAGGAGAAGGAGAGCAGTTTGATCTTGGTCTTCATCTCTCTTGACTTTTTTCTCTAGATCGACTTCTATTTCTTTGAGAATGATAGTTTCTATCTCTACTTCGACTTCAACTTTGACTTCTATTATTTCTATAACTTTGATTATCTCGTTCCCTATAATGTGAGATTGGAAGTTTCGATCTTGATAGTAATTTCTATTTCCTCTATTCTTTTGGTCATCACTCTTCTTTTTGTAGCAGTCAGCAATATAATGACCAGGGTTCCTACAGTAAAAACATCGAGCTTTACTTTTGTTTGGAGTAGGTTTTTTTTCAGCAGTATAAGCGAGTTTTTGGGGTTGTTGCACTTGTTGTTGTTGAGCTAAATTAATACTCAACTTAGCAATTTGGTCGGTAAGCTAGGTAATAGCATCTTTAGTATCAGTATCGGTGGTTATAAATTTTCCTGTTTCCCAGAGTCTTGCTGTTTCAATAGCGGCATCCAAATCAGCAGGGGCAGAGGCTTATACAGACATAGCAAATTCAGGTCTTAATTCCTTAATAAATTGTTGGACTAGAAAAGTTTCAGATAGTGTTTCAACTCTGTCTTTAAGGCTTTTAAACTTGGCAATATAAGCATCAACGGTACTACTGCCTTGTTTAAGTTCAAAGAGTTGTTGTTGCTATTTGGCTTTCTGTCTAGTCATATTAAATCTTTCTTTGAATAAGGTTTTAAAACTATTTGCTTCTCTTTTTGCATCCCAATAAGATTGTAGTTGTTTATTTTTAGTCTTCACCCATTCTTTAGCAATTTCTTTTATGTAAGCTTTGGCCAATTCAAGTTGTCTATCTTCACTTCAATGATTTGCTTTGGCAGCTCGGTCAAATTCATCAAGCTATTCAATAGGGTCTTAACTTCTATTACCTTTAAAAGCTTCAATTTTAATGAGATTCTTTTCATCTTTTCTACCTTTGTTTAAAGCTTTAGCAAGTTCACTGATGGCTTTTACAGCAGCAACCATAGGTTCAACTTCTTTTTCAGTATCACTCATTTTGTTTAAATTATCTTCTTCATGAAATAATTAATCGAGACAGTAATATAATTCCACAGTATCATCAGATGATTCAGAACCTTCAGAAGTGGAGGGGGTTTTAGTTAATGAATTAGAAAATTCCTCTTCTAGAGATGTTTCAAAGAAACTTGTAATTATTTCAGGTTTGGGAGTTGTTTTCTTGATAGATGGATATATTGGAATATAAGGAGTATTATCCTCCTCAACAGGATATTCTTTAATTGGTGAGTATAATAAGGGATATGAGGTGTAACTTCCTTCTACTTGAGGATTGTGCCAAGGGTTTTTAATAGCAGTATTTGTAGATAAAGTATTATTAATATTCTCTAAAATATTAAGATAAGTAGTAGATGAATTATGAGGTTGGGGTAATACTAATTCACTAATAGCACTATTATTTATATTAGAAACAATAGTAATAGGACTTGGGGTAGAAGTATAAAAAGTAGAGCTAGTTAAATCTTTTAGGTTAACAGAATTAATTATAGTAAAAATTTCCTCAGTTATATCACCAAGAGTAATAGTGATAATTTCAGGAAGATTAGAAGTAGTGTCAATAGCAGAAGTTATTGCAACTTCTTCAGTATCTTCCTAATTAATTTCAAAAGAACTAACAATAGGTTCAGTAACAATTTTAATAGTTTCTACAGGAATAGTATATGGAGATTTTTCAGATATAGTAATTAATTGAACGGTAGGAAGAATAAAGTTAGGATTATCAATATAATTATTAAATAGTTTCTATTATCAAAAATTTGGGGAATAGAAGCATGTGAGATATAGCTTCGAAATAAAATCGAAACTACAGAGCAAGATGAAGATATGTTGTTTCTATAACGGCAACTAAAAATAATATTATGAGTAGCACAGTGAGTAGTAGATCGAGAAGTAGTAACTAATTTGTTATAAGCAGATTGAGTTTTGTGACTATAAGATATAGCTTGATATTCCTGAGAATACCACTGCCAAAAACGAAAAAAGGTTGAGTGACTGCTAGAAGTTTTTGGAGTAAAACACTCAGTATATAATAAATCAGGTATAAGGGTTTGCAGAACAATATAAGAAATAGCTAGGCTGTCAATATGAGCTTGTCGATGGTTTTCAATAGCAGTAAGATAATATCGAGTTAGGGGATCTCCTATAAGACTAAAATAAAATTCAAAATTCTTCTAAAAGAGTTAGTAATAACAATAATTTCAATATGATAATAATTAAACAATTTAACAATATAACACCAGGTAGCATTAACTACAAACAATAATTAAAATAACACCAGGTAGTAATGACTACAAACAATATAATAATAACACCAGGTAGTATAATAACTACAAGCAATTGCAATAATCAATAACACCAGAAAGTACTATAACTCCAAACAATAAAATAATAATAACACCGGGTAGTATAATAACTACTGATTAATTCACACTAGAATTAATCCTCAAATAATAATAAAATTTATACCTTGTAAGATGTAAATGCTGTCAATAATTATTCAAAATTCAAATCAAGATGTAAGTTTTCACAATAGACGTTACTTTTCAAGAGGGATTATACCTTTCCAGTTATTGGACTTCCCAAGAGCAATGTAGGTTTCCAAGGATAATAGTTAACTTTTCGGGTATGATTTTTGGCTTTCTGCCAGAAGGCACCAAAATGTTACAATGCTATAGCCTTCTATCAACAATATAGCAGAGTAACAAGATCACTCACTGTAGAGAAACCTATGTTAGAAATATACAGGAAGTGGAGTAAAGTATTCACAATACTTTACAGCAGTAGGCAAATGGTTCAGGATAGTAACTGTATATTGTATTAACTTTATTAAACACAGATGTCATGGTAATAACCTTGTCTGTAGGATTTACCCTAGAGAGAGAATATCACACTATACAAATATAAGAAGGGTAAGATAATAATGGCTAGATTCTATGAGAGGGTAGAGAAACTTTAACTTGAGCAGAAGGGGCAAAAGGCTCCCTTTTTTACACATAGAAGGTGTAATGGCTAAACTGTGCAAGAGGTACTTAGAGGTACTTGTACAAAGGCACTTAGAGGCACTTGTGTTTAGAGACACTTAGAGGCACTTGTGT